GAACATTTCTGTATTCGAAGTGCATGGAACAGTGGATCCAGTGGGTGTTTCAGAGCTTCGAGAAGATAATTCAGATATTTTTTTGTTCAAATACCTAATCTCTGGGGTTAATTTTTTTCCTGTTTTTAAGGCTGATCTCGGCGGAGTATGAGCGCTTATTTTCGAAAATTATTGGTGAACTGCTATTTTAATTCGCTGGCCATTCCACGATGCCCAGATGGGTGGAGACTCACCCCTACTTGTGCTTTCCTGGTCAGGTGCATCCTTCTCCTATACTCGAGTGAGCGAGCGCACCCAGTGAAATGTACCCGCATTCTGCTTGTGCTTCAGAACATCTAATTTAATAGAGTTCGATAGGGTCCTGATTTTCTGATAAATTTGAGAAGGTGGTAAGTAAATCGTCGAACTCGGTAACTCATGAAAGACCCGTGGAACAAGTAAAGCAACTAAATGGTGGAACAGACTAAAGCAAAAGCGGGATCTTTAGTTCTTGGTAAGGCTGAGCTTTGCCCTGATAGCGGCAGGGTCGACGTTTGGTGCGAAATGATTGTCGACTCCACGATTTTTCGGCTTGCCGCTTCGTCTCCGCCCTCGAGGTATTCAACTAAGTCATTGCCACAGGCCGCGTTCCGGCGGCGTGGCTTATAGAATTAAGGCGTAATGATTGTGAGTCTCCGTTCATTCGATCATAGGGGAATGTGCCTTTGATAGCAGCAGAATTATGGAGCGCGGCATTCCTTGCGATCACTTGTCGCGCATGCAAATAAAAGTTCCCCTCATGGATCGCTTTGCGACGACGCACAAATGCAATACATGGCGAATAACGTCCGGGACCGTGGCCTATCTGAGAAGCTTCCCTCGCTGTTGGCATCGAGGATACTCTCGACCATTGGTAAGGCGGCGTTCAGACTTCGCGCTGACGGGCGCAGACGCTCTGTAACGCCCTGCAATTGCCACAACACTCAAAGCTATAGACGCTAACGCAGCTGCAGATGGCGAATGCCGATCGATTCTAGCCTGTGCGATTAGATGACACCTACCATCATATTATCACATACTCTCTCAAAACGGTCGGCGCCGGTTAATCGAGTGCTCTTACAAGGGAGGTCGTTCAGGCCGTGGTGAGCTTTTTCAAAACGATTTGTTGCATGTTGTAGGGGTCCATACAAGGACCACACAGATGGGTTTCATTTTTGCTAAACGCTATTGGGAATGTCAAAAAAGGAATAAAAACAAATCGCTTAAAATACGCAAGTTTTATCATCTCATTCGCATCTGTTTCAGCTGTAAAGCAGAATACATAGAGTTTATAAAGTGTTTCTCAACTAGAC